GTTTCAGGGCTGTGCTTCTGCTGTCTCGTGGTCTCCTTGAGTTGGCCTCTGCACTCTGTACAGCATGGCCTCTGTTGCTTCCTCCACTTCACGCAGGGATTTCAAACATGCTCTGCTGGTGGCTATTCTTTGATTGTCTTGGGAATTCTCTCTCTGTTTCTGAGATCGCTTTCGTATACACAGAATGACAACCCAGACTGGCCAATCTACTCTATTAGCATTTAACACAGCCTGTTTGAATAGTCCCCCCAATCATTTGGTGGGGTTTACAGAGGCATGGATAGAAAAGAATGTTAAGAAATTTCACTTCACCACCACACCCATGATGAGATTCAGCTGGTTCACACTGGTTTGGCAGAACCAGAACCTAATTTTTTGTTGAGTTCAGTGGACCGGTGTTCAAATGGCACTGGTGGACAAATGGAGAGTCGCCCAATACGGAAATCACAAATTTGCATTCCTTACTTGTTTTTAATGTTCATCTGCCTGACAGCATATTCTAAGTTCCCTTAGCAATGTTCATTATGTCCATAGGTATAAAAAATTAGACAGCTCTGCTTGCAATACTTATTTATTCATTTCATAAAACTCATCATACTTTTGATGAAATGCTACATTTTTATTCTCTTGTTTGTTATTTCGGCAAGCAAATATAGAATGTAAAGATGAAAAGAGCCCCCCAAAAGTGAAAAGATGGATAAAACACACAGCCAGCGATGCTCAGATCACAGTGAAGAATACTGCAAGTAAGCTTGTCGATCAAGAAGCAAAATGGAAATATCCTAACAGTTTTATAGCTTTTTGTCAAGTATTATCTAATATTTAAAAATTCTTTCTTATAACATAATCTTATTTCCGTATTAACTGTATAAAATAATAAACTACCTTTCAGTAATCATTTTCTTATACGTAAAAGGGTCATTAGGGCCATGAGCCAGTTGCTAAAACATTTGAATCCCATCACTGACCACAACCATTCCCAATTGGAATTATAACCACAGGCATAGAGATGAGGATTTATAGCACATATTTTGGGGGGGGGCGGATTCAGTCTATAATATTCTACTTTTTGGTTCCCCCAAATTCTTGTCCTTATCATAATCAAAACACATTTTCCTCAGCCAATCATTCTTAGGTCTTAAATCAACCTAAAGTCCTAAATCTTATCTTCTGAATAATCCAAATAAAAAATTGGTGAGACATGAGTGTATACTCTCCTGGGACAGAATTCCTCTTCATTTGTGAATCTGTGAGGTCTAGATGACAAGGTATCTATTTCCAAAGCACAGTGGTGGAACAGGAACAAGGTATACATTTTTGTTACAAATAGAAAAAATGGGGAGCAAAGGACGCATGGCATCCAATCAAGCCCCTGATCCAGCAGTTCAAATTACTCTCAAGGCTTGAAAATAATCCTCTGTTTCCTTGGTGCACACAGAGGGCAAAGGAACGAGAACCTACACATACCCAAACAATTTAAGGGAATGAGACTGGGTCTGAGGGCTCAAGTCTTGGGGGACACCAAATTCAGTTGGGGTAACATAGTATACAAAAATGGTGCTCGACACCCTACTTTGGTGAGTAGGAACTAGGGTCTTAAAAGCTAATGAGCAGCAATCAAAGGTGCGACTGTTGGTCTCTCACTGACCAGAGGAAAGCCGAGTGATGACAATGGAAAGACATGGAAATAATTAGTCCCTAGACTACAGGACTAGGAGACCAGAAAAACTAGATGGTGCCGGCTACCACTGTTAACTTCTGTGCCAAAGATCACATTAGGTCCTGGTTTGAGTGAGAGAAAAATAGAAAACAGAATTCAAAATCTTAAGAGACCAAGCTTACTGGTTGGATAGAGATGGGTGGAACCTCCCCAAGCCTAAAGATCACACAGGCCATGTTTACCCAGTGCTGAAATCCTGGTGGGGACTGAGCATGATAGTGGGACAGGAGGAGAATCAAGGGAAATAGAGGAAAGAGCTGGGAGGCAAAGGGC